AAAGAAAGAAAGAAGAAAGAAAATGAGAAGACACTTAAGTATGAGCTACGTACTGAGACTCTGTACCATGTTCCAAATACATTAAAAAAAAAAAAGAAAGAAAGAAAAAATAAGTGACAATGGAAGTAACAAAACTGATAAATAAGGCTCTAGAAAAAAATAATTTCTCAGATAACTACAGAGGTGACCATAATGAAAGACATGCTTAGTGATTCTAGAGAAAATAAAAATTTAAAAATAGAGGAACTTAGGAAAATGATAAAAACTATGAACGCTCAAAATAGTAAAGCAATGGAAACCATGAGACAGATTCAGGAGATTCAAAATTCCAATGAAAGTATATGCAGTGGAATGAGCCAATGGGGGGGGCAGACTCTCAGATATAGAGGATTGTCATTAGTGATCATGAGAAGAAAGATTTCTTAAAAATAGCAAAGGACCATGAAAAATCAATCCAAAAGCTGCTAGATGATGCAAAGAAGGATAACAAGATTGATCAGTGTCTGAAAAAGCAAGAGACAGCACAAATGATACAAAAAATCTGTTCATAGATGTCATGGCAGAAAATTTCCCAAGTAATGAAAAAGAATTTGACGTACAGATAAATGAGGCATGTAGGAATGACAATCAGCCATGACAAAAAAACTTTAATATTTTAAATATTAAAGATTCCAGAAACTCAACACAGGAACAAAATATTAAAAGCTGCTACAGGGGGCCAGTGAGATAGCTCAGTGGACTAAGTGCCTGCTTAGTCAGATGCAGGGTCCAGGGTTCTACCCCCACAGGGACCAGGGTTCCATCCCTGTGTCATGCCAGTCCTGCCCCTGAGGCACACTGAGAAGGGGACTGAGACTGGGCGAGGTGGCATGTCTGTAATTCTAGTGCTTGGGAGGCTGAAAACAGGAGGATCACTATGAGTCTGAGCTGTGTAGTGAGACCCTGTACTAAACACACAAAAAATAAAAATAAAATTGAAGGAGAAATATGATACTACCATGATAAAGAACACCCAAGGAAACTCAGCCACCAAACCTGCACTCCAACATGTTCTGAAGGACACACTAGAAAGATAACAAGGACTACAGCATCTCGAACCCTAACAGAATGGAACAGCCAGGCAAGGCCAGCAATTAACCAACAGGAAATGGGGAACCAGCAACACAAAAATAACATGACAAAGATAAGTCAATACACAGCAGTTATAGCCCTCAATATAGATGGTCTCAATTCACCAATGAAAAGAAACAGGCTGGAAGAATGGATCAAGAACCAAGATCCAAGGTCAGCCAGACAGCTCAGCGGATTAAAGCACCTGCTTAGGCAGATGCAGGGGCGGGGGTTTGATCCCTGGGCCTGCCTGCTGGCCTCACCCCTGGGGCATTGAGACAGCAACTGAGACTGGGCATGGTGGCACACGCCTGTAATCCCAGCACTTGGGAGGCTAAACACAGGCAGATCACTACAGAGTCCAACCTACACAGTGACACCCTGTAGTGGATTCTAAATAAATAAATAAATTTGTTAAAAAAAAAAAAAAAAAAAAAAGGAAGCAAGATACAACAATTCCCTGCATACAAAAATCATATGGGGCTGGGGGATATAGCTTGGCGATCTAAGCATCTCCTGGTAAGTGTAGGGACCCAATTTGATCCCTGGTACAGTGTGCTGTGCCTGCCCTGGAACTCCATGTGCTGTGTCAAACACCCAAACCAGGCGTGGTGGCGCACACCTGTAATCCCAGCATGGGGGTGGCTGAGACAGGAAGATTACTGAGTCCAACCTGCATAATGCGACCCTGTACCAAACAGATAAAAGATTAAAAAAATTTTAAAAAAGAAATGTATGTAATTTAAAAAGAAATTCATAGGCTGAAAGTCAAAGGATAGAAAACAATGTCCCATGCAACAGGGAGCTGAAAAAACGCAGGGGTAGCTCTTCATCTGCAGACAGTGTGGATTTCTCAAGCTAAGACTGGTTAAAAGAGACAAAGAAAGTCACTCTATACTTGTACAAGGAACAACCCAAGAGGAAGAGATAGCAATCATAAATGTACATGCACAAGATACCAGTGTACCCAATGATATAAAACAAGCATTACCAGATAGGAAAAATCAAATAGGCACTCATAAAATTTCAACAATCACAAAAAATCAAAACTGAACCAAGCTTTTCAGCAACTTAGTGTATATCTACAGTGTTCTACCCACAACATCAGATTACAGGTTTTTCTCAGCTGAACATGGGATATTCTCCAAGATAGACCACATACTAGCTCATACAATGTGCCTACGTAAATGAGGAATTAACATTGTCCCATGCATATTATCAGGCACAGCGCATTAAAACTAGAAATTAATGGCAATAGAAACTGCAAGAACTTCATAAACATACAGAAATTAAATAGCACCCTCCTGAACTGCCAATGGGTCACAGTTGAAATTAAAGACAATTTCTGTAACTAAATGTAACATCAAGCAGAACTTATGGGATATAATGAAAGCAGTCTTTGGAGGGAAACTTAAGCAGTGAATTCCTTATCAGAAAAAGAGCAAACTCAAATAACCTAAGGTGGAACCTTAAAATTCTAGAAAAACCGTAAGTCAAGCCCAAAGCTAAATACCGGAGAGAAAATTATAAATTAATGCTATATAGACTAAGAAAACAATACAATTGGAGCTGGGGAAATGGCTCAGTGAAATAAGTACTTCCCTGGCAAGTGCAAGGGCCTGAATGCAATCCCCGGTTTCACAAAAAAAAAAAAAAAAAAAAAAAAAGGATCCTGCAGAAATCCCAAAGTTTTCACTCTAAAACCAGGAATCAAAAAGAGAAAGAGAAAAATCAGCAATAAGACAAGGATGTTCACTATTACCACTCTTACTTAGCCAGAGCACTTAGACAAAAGAAAAGGAGTAAGGACAGAAAAGGAAGACATTAAATGATCATTATTTGCAAATGGCATGATACTCTACATAGAAGACCCCAAATACTCCGCTGAAGTCTCATAGATTTAATAACTAAATTCAGTAACAGCAGGATACAAAGTCAACACTCAAAATATCAATACCATTCCTGTATAGAGATAACAAATTCATGGCAAAAGTCATTAGGGAAACAACACCTTTCACAATACCATCCTCCAAAAATGAAATACCCAAAAATCAATCTAACAAAGGAAGTAAAAGAGCTTTATGTTGAAAACCATACTACTCTGAAAAAGGAGACAGCAAATAATACCAGAAAATGGGAAGATATTTCTTTGTTCTTGAGTAGAAAGAACCAATATAGTGAAAATGGCCGTATCTCCAAGTGTTATACAGATTTAATGTAATCCA